AAAAATAATTATGATTTTTTAAAAATATTCTCTAAAGGGGAATTGCACGTGTAGCCGTGGTAAGATTGCACACCGAATCGTGCTGAAATGGCACACCTAATCGTGCTGAAATGGCACACCTAGCCGTGCTAAGATTGCACATGGCATCGTGGTAAAATTGCACATGTAGCCGTGGTAAGATGGCACACCTAATCGTGCTGAAATGGCACACCTAGTTGTGGTAAAATTGCACATATCAGCGTGCTAAGATTGAACATGTCATCGTGGTAAGATTGCACGCGTAGTCGTGGTAATATTGCCCACCGGATTGTGCTGAAATGGCACACCTAGTCGTGCTAAAATTGCACGTGTCATCGTGGTATTAGTCATGCTAAGATTGCACACGTAGTCGTGCTAAGATGGCGCGCCTAATCACGCTGAAATGGTACACTTAGTCGTGCTAAGATTGCACATGTAATCGTAGTAAGATTGCACACCCTAATCGTGGTAATATTGCCCACCTAATCGTGCTAAAATGACACACCAAGTCGTGCTAAAATGGCACCTGTAATCGTGGTAACAATGCCCATCTAATCGTGCTAGGATTGCACACCGAGTCGTGCTAAAATGGCACACCTAGTCGTGCTAAAATGGCACATGTAATCGTGGTAACATTGCCCACCTAGTCGTGCTAACATGGCACACCTAGTCGTGCTAAAATGGCACATGTAATCGTGGTAACTTTGCCCACCTAATCGTGCTAGGATTGCACACCTAGCCGTGCTGAGATGGCAGTATTGCACGCCTAATCATGCTAAGGCGGCATTGCTAGCCGTGCCATCAGGCTCAGCCGTCCCACCGCAGCCTGCCCAAGGGCTGTCGGGCATCCCTGCCCGGCGCGCGGCACGTCTGCTCGCGGCGCCCGCGGCGCGGTGCGCAGTGTGTCAGAGCAGCCCCGTGTGTCAGGCCGAGGGGGGCACAAGGAAGGAGGAAGACTTGCACTCCTGAGCCATCTCACACACAGTTTGTCTCTGAACCAAATCCTCGCCCCGGGAAGGAGCAGCGGGTTAGTTTGCTGCAGCCCAGGTGGTATTTTGCTCCCGGCCAGCGGTGGAGGTGCTTAGCGGAGTACATTCAATGTCTTTGGGGGGGGAGGGAGCAGTGTCCAGAGCCCCTCCCCACCAGCACCCTCGTGGCACTGCATTGCACCCCCCGCCCCAGCACCCCTTGCTTGGGAGTGCCCCCCCAGGGAAAAGAGGCAATGCTGTTGTGTGTGTCCCCTCCCCCGGGGCATCCGGATGCCTGCTCGCAGGGCTGGGTGGAGATCCCCGGCCGGGCGGGGAAGGAGGGCGCTGGCTCAGCTCTCTGCAAACCGGCCCCGGCCACTTGTCCTGGGCTCAGCGGCCGGCCTCAAAGGGAGCCCCGAGCTGGTGTGGGGGGTGTCTGCATCCCGGGGGAGGGAGCGGGCAACGGGAAACAAATGCCCCGCTTGCAACCCCGATGCGTATTTGGAAGGGAGGCCCCGTGCTTGCAGGGAGCTCGGGTGCAGCTGCCGGCGGGCGTGCGCGCGCGCGTGTGTGTGTGTGTGTGCGCGCGTGCAAAACACAGCCGAGCCGACGAGCTACTGAAACCCCCGGAGCTCCGCGCCCAGCGCCCCTTTTTGCTCCGGCTCTTGCTAAATCCGTGCACCCCGTCGGCTTCTCTGCAGCGACCCAGTCCGGCTATATAGATATAGATATAGATATAGATATAGATATAGATATAGATATAGATAGTGTATCTATAGAGAGAGAGAGATACTTAGTGTGTATGTGTGTGTATCTATGTATCTATAGATCTAGATCTATCTAGATCGATAATATGTATAGTATATATGTACACTATATATATATATACACACACACAGATTAAGTGTGTATATATGTATGTGTATATACACACACATACATACTATAGTGTGTGTGTAGATAGATAGATATGTACTCTTATTCTCCCTTTTCTTGCTAAGGGAGTATACATATATGTGTGTATGTGTGTATATATACACCCCCCCTTTTCTTGGCTAAGGGGGTGTATGTATATATGTGTGTGTGTGTGTGTGTGTGTGTGTGTGTATACATACACCCGAGGCTGGGTGCTGGGTGCGGGGCTTGCCGGAGGACACCCGCCCAGGTCTCAGCCCCGGAGCCTGTGCACTCTCCAGCCCAAAAAACCCCTGCAGCCCCCGCTGCGGCCCCCCAGCTTGCTTGAGTCCGTCCGAAATGGTAGACGGGCGATAGGATGCCTTTGCCCCGGAGCATCCTGCTCAGCTCCTCCCTGCCATCCAGCTGCCGAGAGGGGAGAAGGGGGTTTCTCGTGGTGGGGGGTGCTGCAGCGCCCCCAGCTCCCCCCCCGAGCTGCCCTGGGGGCTGATTGCAATTGTCCTGTTCCCCTTCCCCCACCCGCGGCTGCTGCTCGGTCCCGGTTGATCCGCGCGCGTTTAACCCGCTCCGGAGCTCCGGCGTCTGGCCGCGCTCGCGCACACGGGGCAGGCTGCTGTGGGGTGTTTTTCTCTCTCGAGCTAAGACACGCGGAGCAAACTTTTCCCGACTGGGGAAAGTGAATAGAAAGGCCGGGGGGATCCGCAGGCTTTTGGGCTGCGAGGGGAAGAAGAGGAAGAGGGAAAGAAAGGAAGAGAGAGAGAAGGAAGGAAGGAAAAGCAAGCAACTAAGACAAGAAAGGAAGGAAGAAGGATGGGGAAGGGAGAAAAAGGGAAGCAGACATCCTGGGAAGTAGCCACCCTTGCCTCCGGCTGCCCTTCAGTCCTGCCCACCCCCCGCGTGTGTCCCGGGTGGGGACCCAAGGGCAATGCCTCCAAACCGGATCAGAGTCGTCCACATGGTTCTTCCACCCTCCTGCCTCCAGACTTCTCCCCTTGAACTACCCCATTCATTATTTTCCCCCCCATTTTCCTTCCAACTCCTTTCCCCCCTCCAAAAAAAAAAAAAAATCCACTGGAAACATTTGATTCTGATTTTCCTTGGGAGCATCCAGCCCCATTGCTCTCCATCTGAAGAAGGTCAGCTTGAAAAATATGGCATATACAGCATAAGGCAATTTAGCTCCACAGGTAAAGGTGGCAAACCGCATGACTATTTCCACCCTGACAAGGTTAAAATCGAAGCGAGGGGAGTGAGGTGCTTTTATTTATTCTCTGGGATGTGCCGATATTTTAAAGATTTAAATTTAAAAAAAAGGTCTACGGGATATTTTGGAGGAAGTCTCTGCCTCTGTGTATGTGTGCGTGCCTGTGGGCATGTACTTCAGGGAAACCAATACACACAGCTCGAAGTCCAAGATTAAGCAGGGTCATTATGAAAAAAAAAAAAAAGCATATTCTAATTCATTTGACAGTTTGAAAATACTTTTTTTGAAACTGGATTTTTTTTTTTTTTTGAATTTTACTCATTCGTGTGACTTCCTAGGAAAGCTGCCATTTTTTTGGCTTGTGAGACATCCAATGGGTTGTAAAAATATCTGACCTCTCCAATTGAAAAGAGGAAACAAATCAGCTCTGTGTTTTCGCTCTGCCTTTTGCAGGGAGAAAAAAAATCTTCCCTTAAAGAAACAAAGCGCGTTCTAGATGTTCGAATGGCAAGCTAAAAGGTCGGAGAGGTCCTTTCTATGGGCTGATCCAATGTCCGGTGAAGTAAATGGAAAGGTTTTCATTGTCCTCAAGGGGCTTTGGACCTGTGCTAGCTCTGATGAGCAAATTCATTCAATTAACTAAGGTGCAAATAGTGCATATTTCTATAATGCCTCTCATTTGAAGACCTCCCGGCTCCTTGTTGAGTTTAATTACCTCACCAATATGCCATAAGGCTGAATTAGGTAAGTGGTAGTATGCCCATTTTACAGCTGGTTAAACTGAGGTGACCATGTCCAGTCTACATTGAGGCTTGCAAAAGGCAGGCCCTCTCTGGGGCCAGCTGCCTGCCTATCTCCCCTTTTGCTTAGTTCAGGCTGGGACAGGCCTGGGGAGTGACATACCATAGCTGGAGAGCGACAGGGTCGAAGGACTCGCTTACAGTCACACAAGGCCTGATTCAGAGTTCGCAACAAGGATCATTTGGCCGTGTGGCTCCACAAGTGGATGGTATTATGCAAAGGAGAAGGATGCAGGATCAGGCCCCAGCTGATCCCACTGGCATACATACATCGCAGCTGTGCCCCAGCTCCCACAGCATACACACACACACACAATTTGTCAGTCCTCGCTCAGGAATGAGAAAGCTGCCTCATTCCCCTGCCTCCTCTCCTTTCTATCTGGGCTGTGAAGGTGCCTTCCCCTGCAACCCTCTCAGCCCGCAGGTCCCACGGTGCTAGCAGTCCCATGCAATGCCCTGGAGCACCTCATGCCCGGGGTGCCAACTCAATCCTAGGGTACACTGGAAAGCCAAGGGTGGGAAAACAGCTTTCAAGCGTGGTGGGTGGCTGGGTCAGTAGCCGAATATACCAGGGAGGAAAAGCCTGATGAAGGGAGGGAAGAAAACAGTTCAGAAGGCAAAGACAGAATGAAAAGGGCATGTAGCTGAGGCAGGAATTAGAGATCCAGATGTGTCGCAGAGCATCACAGGTTGTGCCCACGGGCTTTGGCTTATTTTATGTCCCGGCACATGCCCATGGG